ATTCTCCACAGTAACACTCAATCTAAAGCTGGCAGGATTGGGGCCGGCCCGGTGGCGCACTCGGTAGAGGGCGGCGCTCCCACCGAGGGTTCAGATCCCATATAGAGACTGGTCCGCTTACTGGCTGAGCATGGTGCGGGCGCGACACCAAGGGTTGCGATCCCGTTGCCGGTCACGGAACGGGTGCGACACCAAGGGTTGCGATCCCGTTACTGGTCATGAAAAAAGACAAAAAGGAAAAAAAAAAAAATAAAGCTGGCAGGATATTTGGAGTGAATGTGGGCCGTGGTTGATGTAACATGCTGCCTCATGGGCTGTGGTTTCAGAATAACTCCCCTGCAAATACATTTTTTTCCTCTTGAGACCCTTAAATGATTACTTTGAAATTCAGCTGAATTCTAGCAGCATAAAGAGGCAGTTGATGGGCACGAAAACGCTATGCATTGGTGTGGTTAGGCTTCATTTGATAGATTCAAAAGTACCTGAGATCTCTATCTCCAAATATTGCAATCTCTTCAAACATCAGCATTTCTACTTTAGGCCCCGTGACTTGACACCTGGATGTGTCTTTGGCCTTTGAGCATGCAGGCTCTGGAATCCAACTACCTGATATTAAATTCAGGCCCTGCCAGTTCCTGCCTGAATAACCTTGAGCAAGTCAACTTCTCTGTGCCCCAGTTTCCTCATCCGTTAAACAAAACTGGTATAGTACTTCCCTCATAGGGTTGTTGAGAGGATACGGTGAAACCCAAATGTGAAGTGCTCAGCGCACAGCCGGCAGGTTGTTGGCACTCACCATGACGTTCATCATCGCGAGTGCAGGGCAGCGCCTCATTCCTTTGTTTCTGTTGCTCTCTCTCCTGGAACACTCTTCTTCCTGTCTTACCTGGCCAGCTTCTTTCAAGACTCAGTGTAAGTGCCATCTTTGAAGGACCCCCTAACCCAGACAGGCGACAAAGAGAAGCGATGGTGGGAGTCTTGAGCAGGCTCCGCTCCACCCGAGTCGTGTGCCTCCTCTGTGGCTCCACTTGCTGCAGTGGAGCGTGTTCTACACTGTACAGAAGAAGTTACCTGTTTACCTGTGTGCTCCCTGCCCCACGGTTGTCAGTCAAGTTTAGCAACCTGAAACCTGTCTCATTTGTAGGTCCTGGTATCAGCCATGCACAATTCCTGGCTCTCAGTAACACTTTCTCTGCTTCAGACTCATTCCACCTGCAGTTGTTCCTAAAGCTGTCTGTAGAATTTTGTGTATGGGAAATAATTCATAGCTCTCATCAGATCTCAAAGGAAGCTCTACACAGTAATAAGAGCAGTAAGGGTGAGGATGTGGAGGAAGTGGGACCCTCATACTCTGCTGGTGGGAATGTGCGATGGTGCAGCCACTCTGGAAAAGAGTGTGGCATTTCCTCAAAATGGTAAGCATAGGGTTACCATGTGACCCAGTAATTCCACTTCTAGGTATATACCTAAGAGAAATGAGGACATTTGTTTATACAAAAACTTACGCATGGATGTTCATTATAGCGTTATTCATAGTAGCCAAACAGTGGAAACAGCCCAAATGTCCATCAGTTGATGACTAGATAAAAAAAAGTTGTATAACTGTACAATGTACTGTTATGCAGCAATAAGAAGGAATAAAGTACTGGTACATGCCAGAATGTGAATGAACCTAGAAAATACTATGTTAATTGAAAGAAGCCATTACAAAAAACCACATATTGTATGATTCCATTTATATGAAATGTCCAGAATAGGTAAATCTGTAGAGACAGGAAGTAGATTAGTGGTTGCCATGGGCTGAAGGCACGGGAGACTGGGGAGTGACTGCTAATGTGCATGGAGTTTCTTTTTAGGCTGATGAAGATGTTGTGAACTTAGATTGTGGTGATAGTTGCACAACTCTGAATAAACTAAAAATCACTGAGGTGTACACTTTAAAAGGGTTAATTTTGTGGTATGTAAAGTATGTCTCAATAAAGCTACTATGAAAAAAGAAAAAGAAGCTAGGCCACAGGGTTACATCCCAAAGCTGGCCCTGGCCCTGTCTTCCTGACACTCTGGAAACAGGCACATCCACTCTGTTTCTTCCTGTTCTGAAGCAAGTGGTGAGAGAGAATGCTGTGCTTGTGAATGCTAAGAGCGTGTGTGCCTTGGCAGAGCTGACAGCTGGTGCACCTGCTCTGAGTGGAAAGTAATTGAAAAGGGGTGAGGTGAGGACGGCCCTGGCTCTTCTATGTGAGGGTGAGGCACAGAGACTGGTGATTTGCTGGAAACAGTTTCACCTACTTCAGAGGTTTTTCCTGTTTGCTTTCAACTGTGTGAGGTCAACAGATGACTCAGGTGTTTTGGTGGTAGGTGGGTTCCTGTAGGTATAGTCTAGAAGGAATATTGTTTTTGCTTTTGTTTTTTTAAAATCACTTGCCCTTAATTTGACCTTTTGTTTGTCTGTACAGCCAAAAGAAGACCCAGAGGGCATCCCTCCTCTTCGAAGACGATGTTGATAGTGGAAGCTCTCTGTTTGGCTCTCCTCCCACATCTGTTCCTCCTGCAGCAACGGTATTCTTCATCTCTTAGGCCCAGGAAACATCCTGCGGGTTATGCTACAGGAATAGTGGTACCTCCCTGAGTAAGCTCTTAAAACCTGACCTTGGAGGCCAAGTCTTAATGGGTAAACTTGTTTGCCTCGTTTTAGAAAGATATCCTCTGGTTGGTGCTGCTCTGCCGATGAAGCACACGTGCAGAGCCCAGACAGGAGGACTCCTCCATATCATACAGCCCGTTCAGTGTCAGCTGTAGGGATGAGAAACTGAGTCTCAGGGGAGACTTAGCCCGATGGCATGGACTTCTGCTAATGTTAGACTAGGCCTGTTAAGGTACAAATTATTCCTTTTAGCAGCTCATTTCAAGTACTAACACTTTGGTCCTGATTCATATTAGTAGCCAATCAATAAAAACGAAGGAAATTCTCACTTGTGCTACAACATGCATGAACCTTGAGGACATTCTGCTAAATGAAATAAGACAATCACAAAACATTTATATTAGTAGCCAATCAATAAAAACGAAGGAAATTCTCACATGTGCTACAACATGCATGAACCTTGAGGACATTCTGCTAAATGAAATAAGACAATCACAAAAGGACAAATACTGTATGCTTCCACAGGACAAATACTGTATGATTCCACTTATGCGAGGCATCTAGAGTAGTCAAATTCAAAGAAACAAAGTAGAATGGTGGCTGTCAAGGGCTGGGGAGAGGAGGAAATGGAGAATTGTTTAATAGGTACAG